TAGCAGTGTAAGAGTAGAGGGAAGGCAGCTAGTCATCACCACCCACCGCCAACTCTTTTACCAACGAATAGTGGGATTAACCGTAACATTATAACGCCCCCACGGCTGAAAGAGCGAGCATGTTTGGTTTGACGGGGATTCGAACCCGCGACCCCCATATTGCGAATCGAGTACCCTAACCACCTGGCCATGCCGGGACCTTGATGTAAGGGATAATTTTTTAAAGCTCTGTTCACAACTGTGGTAACCCAAGGGGGAACGTAAATGAACTCATCCCTAATTATATTGTGATAACAGAAAAAAAAGATAATTATTTATAGTTTTAGATACAACTTGGATATCCTATAGTGTAAAGAATTTTTGTACAAACGTTTATATATATTATTTTAAAACAAGTGGATTGTGTGCTGTCTGTTTATTGTTCAAATTTATTGCCAACAAGTCACAGACGCCTATTGTAAAGAACCTGGCCCTATAAAACCTGACACGCAGCAGGTGTTGGTCCAATAAAGTATGATGGCAGAGTTGTGGTGAGCACAAGATATGGTCTGAATGCTACACATATTGACTCACTGACCTCTTGTGTGGAAGTACTCAGATGGCTATGTTATTATTCTACCTATCTCTGTGACACATGGGACTTGTTTGCTTCTTCCTGGGGGAAGAGTGTACCCTGAAAGAGATGAGGTGCAGTCTCCCATGGGTGTGTCCTTATGGAGCTCCCGTCATCAGGTGTGACAGTCCATGGCTTCCTTTGGTTGTTTTCTGAAGGGAGCTCATCTAGGTAATTCTTTGCAGCAGCCCCTCCACCACTTCAACATAGGATTCTAGCTTAACTATGTGAAGAGGTATAGCATTGTCTCAGAAGTTAATATTTACCTTAGCTGAAAACGAATTTCTGATAGATACTCACCTCCTAATACAAGTTCCCACCCATGCTCCCCACTTCTGGTACATATTTTATTACTTGCCTCATCAAAGAATGAAGATTCACCAGTGTAAATGCACAGAGAAAGTTAATGTGCGAAAAGGTGTATCGCCCTTTTATTGGTTTGGTTTGTTGTGAATTTCGCGCAGAGTTACACGAGGGCTATCTGTGCTAGCCTTCCCTAATTTAGCAGTGAAAGACTAGAGGGAAGGCAGCTAGTCATCACCACCCACCGTCAACACTTGGGCTATTCTTTTACCATCGAATAATGGGATTGGCCGTTACATTATAATGCGCCCACGGCTGAAAGGGCGAGCATGTTTGGTGGGAGGGGGATTCGAACCCGCGACCCTCAGATTGCGAGTCAAGCGACCTAACCACCTGGCTTACCTTCTAATGCAAGAGGGCTTTTCCTGCATGCTGACATCATTATGCAGTAACGCAATTCATGAGAAATCTTGTGAGATAAGATGGGAGTTCGCTAAAGGCTAATGGCATGCAAATCTCTGAGACAGATGCGCAGGGAAGGTAACATTGTGAAGAGAGTATCTATCGGAAATACATTTTTAAGCAAGAGCAATGTTAACTTTGCGTATATTGTACATGTACAGTTGAGTTTATTATATATGCATGGTAAGCATAGTGACTAAGAAAAAAATTAATTTTAGGTATCATTCCACGAGTTTTTGTATAATGCTCTCCTACTGCCTAAACTTCGTAATTAATGATGCGGCAAAAATCACACTTTTATAATTTTTTAATATTGTACAAGAATTATATGTGTTTGTTTCATTCTCAACTCGAGATGGGACATAAAAACATATCAATTAACATTAAAGCTAGTTTCACTTTTAGAAACCAGGTGTGAGAGTAGGATTGACGCAATAAAGTCGTTTAAATTTGAAATCGGAGAAATATGTGACAGATACCCCCCCCCCCCCCCATTAGCGAGGCGGGCCTGCATCTGGTATCTTTTGTACTTTCGAATGTTTGTCGCCTTAGGAATTCTTTCAATACTACCAGTATCAGTAACACCAAGAGAAAGGGCATTTTCGAAATTACCTTAGATAAAAATTGATAAATCCCATGAACCAGACAACTTTCATCCTAGAGTTATAAAGAAACTTAAAGATTTTGTGAACCGCTAGCTATTATTTTGTATATGTCATTAAGTAGTGGATGAGTATTGGAAGATTGAAAGTTGGCTAATGTTAATCCAATATCTAAAGGAATTAATAAGCATTGTCCAGGCAATTATAGGCCAGTTAGTCTTACATCAATAGTTGGAAAGATTTTGGAGAGTGTGATTAAAGATGCATTGCACTCACTTGAAGCAGTTTGATATAGTGTCACTAAAAGTAACTTGTATATAAAGATTAATTGTACTAACTCCATCTCGAAATATTTTTAAATGAATTACTGCACAAACTGTTGGAGAAGGTTCAGAGAAGAGCCACTAGGATGATGGGATTGTCCTATGAGGAGAGACTAAAATCTCTAAACTTGTTTTTCTCTGGAGAGAAGAGTCAGAAGGGATTTGAGTGAGGTGTTTAAGATTATTAATGGTATTGATAATATATATATATATATACATCAAACGTTTTTTGTGTTTAACAGTGAAAACAAT